CAATTCTCCTGCCTCAGCCTCCTGAGTAGCTGGGATTACAGGCACGCGCCACCATGCCCAGCTAATTTTTTGTATTTTTAGTAGAGACGGGGTTTCACCATGTTGACCAGGATGGTCTCGATCTCTTGACCTCGTGATCCACCCACCTCGGCCTCCCAAAGTGCTGGGATTACAGGCTTGAGCCACCGCGCCCGGCCCTGGGTACAAGTTTTTGTATGGGAAGATGATGTCATTTCTCTTGCTCTGTACCTAGGAGTAGAATTACCAGGTCATCAGGCAACTATGTTTAACCTTTTGGGGAACTGCCAGACTGTTTTCCAAAGCAGCTATACCATTTTACATGATGATGATATTTTAATTGACCTCTTAATTGAAGGATTTAGAAAACAACGTTAAGATAAAAAAGAAGGTGGCCGCCTGGAGCTGAGGTGGGCTCCCAGTGTGGGGCTGGGGAGGTGGGGCTGTGGAAGACTGCCAGTCCTCTTACTGGCTGGGCGAAAAGACAGAGCAAGTCCCAGGTCATTGTAGGGCAGGGAACCAGGGAATCACCAGTGCCCAGCCGAGGGGCCAGCTGAGATTCAGACCACACTCCCCACCTCAGCTGCACACCCAGGTAGCTGTGGGGAGGCAAAGGAGGCGCCTGGCATTGGCCTTTACACAGCCTCACAGTCACTGAGCAATGAGGAATAATGTACCCAGTTCACAGAGGGGAAAACTGGGCTTCGGGGATAAGGAAGTGCATGGGAACCTGGTTTCTGACTCCAAATTAGAGAGCTGCTGGTGTTGGCAGCACCAGGCCAAGACCTGAGTCAGAACCAGGGCTGAGCTGACTTCACGTGTGTCTGTGTGCGTGTGTGTTTCTTATCTGACCGCTGCCTCTCTCCTCCCAGCCCCAGGCCATTTACTGCAAGGATGTTCTGGACATTGAGCAGTTCTCCACCGTCAAGGGCGTGGAGCTGGAGCCCACTGACCAGGACTTCTACCAGAAGTTTGCCACAGGCAGCGTGCCCATCCCTTGGCAGAACGAGGTGGGGGCCTGCCCTGCTGGTGGGGTGGGCTCTAGGAGGCTGCCCTGGGGACAGCTCTCACAGCTGCCGGCTCCTCAGCAGATGGTGGAGACGGAGTGCTTCCAGGAACTGAATGTCTTTGGGCTGGATGGCTCAGTTCCCCCGGACCTGGACTGGAAGGGCCAGCCACCTGCACCCCCTAAAAAGGGACTGCTGCAGAGACTCTTCAGTCGCCAAGTAAGCCCCGGCAGCGGCCGACCTGGGGCCCCCAGCCTGGCTCCAGGGGACAGTGGGTGAGAGGCAGAGCTGGTGCCCGCATACGCTGGGAGTGGGCATCCTCCAGCCCTGTTGCGGTGCCCAGGGTCTCTGGCCTCATTCCCACCTGTCCCCCACCCCTGGCTGGGCTCATGGCCTCTTTTCTCTTTCCAGAGGTGAGCAGTGTGGGCTCCCCGTGGGTTGGCCTTGCTGCCTGGCCTCGGGGAGCCACGGGCAGCCCTTCCATGGCAGAGGCGAGATGTGGGAGAAAGAAGTCTGGTGCCCACCCCACTCCCCTTGCCCACTGCTTCGGTTCCCTGCACCCTGCCCCCTTCGAGCTGCCAGCTTTGCTTAGCTTGTCTCCCCATGCCCTGTCTCTGCCAGCCCCAGGGGAGAGGGCTGGGCAGAGGCCTTGCCCTGGCAGACCATGGGATCTACCCAGCCCCCTTCTGCTATGGCACCCACCCACTTGCGGCCTGAGCTGCTGTTCCAGGCTCCTCATGGCGAGCCCCTTCCCCAGAGTGCACCCTCAGGCAGCTCCTGGCCTGCCCTGGCAAGGTTGGCCCCATGTGACATCCCTGGTGGTTAACAGCAACCACTCTGCCTCTCTCCCTCCCTCCATGTCTTCCCCGTCCCTGCAGGATTGCTGTGGAAACTGCAGCGACAGTGAGGAAGAGCTCCCCACCCGCCTCTAGCCCTGAGCCTGAGGCCCCCACCGGCAGTTGGCGGTAGCAGCTACTCCAAGCGCTGTTCACAGTTTTGCACAGTGGTCTTCCCCATTGTCCACTCAAGTTGTGGCCTGGGGAACACAGACGGAACTGTCCCCAGTGTCCCCCACCCCTCAGCCCCTGGCCTGGCTGAGTGTGGCAAGGCCTGGGCTGTCCCTGGGACAAAGGTGCGTCCCTTCGGCTCTTCTCCGTGGAGCTCGGGGCTTTCTGTATTTATGTATTTGTACGAATGTATATAGCGACCAGAGCGTTCTTAATCCCCACCGCAGACCTGGCGCCCCTGCCTTGGCTCCTGGGGGCAGCCAGCCCTGGCTGGGAGAGTGGGAGCTGGCAGAGGAGCCACTGCCAAACTCAAGGCTCCTCCGGCCCAGTTTGGACGGCTGAGGGTGGTCACAGCCCTGAGTCCTCAGCATTGTGCTGGGCCGCACCCCTGCACCTCCCCAGCCTCTGAGTAAGACTCATGCCTGCCCCTGCTGCCCTGGGCTCAGGCTGCTACCCTGTAGGGCCCAAAGCTGTCCCTTCTCAGTGCTTGTAAGAGCTGGATCTGGGGCATCTGTATCCCCTAGGCCTGTGCCAAAGTGGCCAGAGATTGGGCTGGCTGTGAGACCCATCAGTCTACTGCCCCAGCCGGCCCAGATAGGTCTGCCTCTGCCTTCCGGCTCCCAGGGCCTGGTCCCTGATGCCAGGCCCTGTCCTGAAGACACCTCTTTCAGAAACACCCAAGCCCAGCCCCTAGGAGGGGGTGGGGCATCCCTGGACAACCCTCAAACATTCCGGACACCCCTCATAACAATAGACACATGTGCCCAGCAATAATCTGCCCCTTCCTGTGTGCGCCTGTGGGGTGTGCGTGCGTGTGTGTGTGTACCTGTGTGGGTGAAGGGGATAAGTTGAGGCTGTGCCTGTGCCCCAGGCCCCAGCCCTGGCCCTTCCCAGACTGTGATGGCCATCCTGGTCCCAGTGTTAGGGTAGCATGGGATTATAGGGCCCTGTGTTTTCCATATTTAAAGCCAATTTTTATTACTCATTTTGTCCAATGTAAGCTGCCACGTGTCTCTGTGTGAATACAGTCTGAGCACAAACCTGGCCAGCCGCCCCTGCCTGCCTCTTTCTTGCTTCCAGTGCTCCAGGGGTCTTCCGAGCAGGAAGCAACTGGCCCAGTTGGCAGTGGGAAGGGATTGGAGGTGGGCCTGGAGGGAGGAAGGGTGTGCCCTCCTGAGGCCCTGAAGCCCCCAGGGCTGACTCTAAGGTGGCCTCTCCAGGCAGCCAGGCTTTGGTAGCCTTTAGGCTCACCCAGTGGGTTTCCCAACTTCCTAAATGGGATGGGGCCTAAGGAAAGAAGCCTTGGGTGCCCCCTGAAGTGTGGGTCTGTTTCTGAGTGTGCTGGTAAGGTGGGCCCTGCTGGTTTCCTGCCCTCCAAGGCTGAGGTGGCCTGGCTGCCTAAATGTGGACTTGGAACAGCTCGGGAGCAGGGTGGAGCTGTGTAAGGAACACCTGCCCCAGGCCTGCCTTACCTGGATGCCAGCTGTGAACAGGCCCTGGGCTGGTGCACGTGCATCATTCCCACCCCTCTGTTTTGCCCTTGACACATTATGGGCAAAGACCTAGACTGTGGGTGATGCTGGCAGGTAGGGTGTGGCTGGTAGGGGAAGGTTCTCTGAAGATAGCGGTTGAGCTGGCCTCGAAGTGGACATTCACCTGGGAGGAAGGGGGACTGGGAGGCACTTCAGGGGAGCTTTCTGCATGGGCGCTGGGGCTGAAAGCTTGTTGCCCACAAGTCTGTCCAGATCTTGGAACCCCATCACTGCTTTATAGAGTCCCAGTGTCCCCAGCCCCCTAAGAATGCCCCATAACCCCCATTGAGCTTGTTCTTTGCCTCTGGACTGGGCACCCAGTGCTGCAGGAGCCACATAAGCTTTGTAGCTGACAGCTCCAGGTTCAAGCCCCAGCCTGACCACTTTTCACTTTGGCTCTGCACAGGCCCTTCCTATGTATGGAAAGATAGGTGTGAGACCCATTGACTTGCCCAGCAGCTGTGAGAATCTACCGAAGCAGCCAGTCAGCCCCTTGAGCTCCCAAGCCACCACAGGACTCACCTGCTGGGGAGATCGTGGTGCTGAGTGACAGACTAACTGGCTGGCTTAAGCACAGCCAGAAGGTGCTCAGCAGCAGCCTGGCAGAAGGGGCCTTTATGTGACCCCATTCAGGACATGGGGAGTGCCCGCTGCTTCCCATCAACCTAAGGGAAATAAGGGGAGGAGGGATTTGCTCAAGGTCTTCCCACTAACTAACTAACTAACTCTGCCATTGCAGAGTGGGGAGGAAGCCAGGTAAAGATGGAAAAGCTGGATCCTACCCATGTGACATGAGAATGGAGCCTGGATGGGTTTGCCCCTCTGCCCCAGGCTGTTTTGAGGTGGGAGTGGGGGATTTTTAGGTAGGTGTTAGCATGCCAGACCAAAGCCCAGCCCTGGGCAGGTATGCAAGAGTGAGAAGTGCCAGGTGGGTATGCAGGACCCTGAGGCACTCTGTCTACACCTGGATCCAGTCGCCCTGGCCACGCTCCCCCTTGGGCTAGGGAGGCATCCAGGGAACTTCCTGGCTAGGGTTAAACTCACCTTAAAGCTCTTACCACAATGGGTCCTTGGCAGAGGGAACTCCCAGAATTCATTTCCCAGGAAGCTTCCCTGAGCTTTCCTCCATGCCCAGCTCTGTGGTGGGAGCTGGGACCCAGATGGAGATGAGGCCCCTGGCAGCTTGGAGCTCATTCTGGTAGGGAGGCAGACGTGGGAACAGCGAGACCCAGTGTGATCAGCACTGTGGAAGAGAGGATTCTAGAGCTGATAGGGTTGGGGGTGGGACAATACCAAACAGGAGGCCCCTTGACCGTGAAGGTATCTGTTGGTGCCCTCCAGGACACAGGGACCGTTGTGCCCAGGTAGAGCCAAATGGATGGTCTAGGGCTTTAGTGCTTTAGGATGGCTGAGGATGGGAGGCCAGAGGTGGAAGTAAGGAGTGACTGGAGCTGAGGTCAGCGAGACACAGCTGGCTTTGAAAGTTGGGTTAAGGATGATGGGGTTAAGGCCCAGATGGGGCCTCATCTGGAAGGTAGGGGATTCCCTGAAGGGTTTTGACTGGTTGTGTTGGGGGTGTTTGCTCCAGCATCTACAAAAGCACCCCCAGTCTCTGTCCATGTGGTTTAGATGGGGCTATGCTTGCACGCCCTGCATATGCATACTCCATACACATACCTAGAGTGAGAGAGCCAGGTGGCAGAACTGTCCTGCTAACTTAGAAGGTGTTCGGAGGATATGGAGGAGCTCCGGGGTCTTGGTTGTGGAGCCTATTCTCATCAGGGCACACCTACCAGAAGCAAGATGCTAGAGCCGTTTGGTTTTGCATCTTTGAGCTCAGTTGCAAACCCAAGGAGTCTGAGTGGCCAGGCTGGATACTTGGCCACTGTGTGCTGAGGGAGCAGTGCACTTGGGTTCACAGGCTCGCAGGGATGGCACCCATAGGGCCATAATTCCCCTGATGAAATCAGGGTGTCTGTATAGAAAGAAAAGGGAATGGATACTGGGAGAGCATTCCCTTTGGCCATAAGGAATACATATCCTCTCCTTAACTCACAGGCACTTAGATTGGTTCACCAATAGAGACTCAGCCTAAATGAGTCCAAAAACAATCATTTGTGGAGTTGTTTGCTTGTTTTTTGCTCAAATGATGGGGAAGCAATTGGGGTTCTCTTTCCCCCAGGGACAGATGGCAGGATATGAGCCTAGGGCTATGGAAGTTGTCCTCGCTACCTCTTGGGGTGAGTTTGCCCGAGACTGATGCAAACATAGAAGCAGGTATGTACCTGATGCCACTGAGGGAACACCTGGAAGCAACTGTGACCAAAGCTAGAATCTCTACCCTGGGACTTGCCAGTTACGTGAGCTAGTCCCCTTTGAGCTCAAACCTTTATTTTTCTTTCTTTTTTTTTTTTTTTTGGAGACAGGGTCTCACTCCATTCCTTAGGCTGGAATGCAGTGGTATGATCTCGACTCACTGCAACCTCTGCCTCCTGGGTTCAAGCAGTTCTCCACAGGCATGTGCCACCATGCCCAGCTAATTTTTTTTTTTTTTTTTTTTGGTAAATGTGGCGTACAGCTTAAACCTATTTGAGGGTTCTGTCACTTGCAACCCCAAATGTCCCAGCTGATGTGGTGGTGGAGGATGTTTTTGGAAAATACCTTAAGTGCAGTAGAGAAGTTGGACGAAAAATAGCCCAGTTAAAAGGCCGATGGACAGCCAGGTTCAGAATGGCCTCTGCAATATTGGACCTCGGGGTAGACAGTGGGGCCCTCTCTAGTGGTCATCTGTTCCCTAGGGGAAGGCATGTCCACAGAGGCCGGGGCTGTGGATTTGGCACTAGGTCCTCCTTCCCATGGTGCTTGCTAGTAGGCATGTGGTGGTGTACGCCTGCTGGGCACCTAACGGAAGGGGTCGTGAGTTGAGAGGAAGCGACATTGGGGTGCCTGCCTGCTCGGGGGCCCTGCCCACTGCGTGTTTGCAGCGCCTGTCAGGATGTGACCGGGGCCTGGACGTGTGTGTGCTCTCCAAGCTGAGCTGTGTGCGCGTAGGGGTTCTAGACCTCAGCTGCCTGGCTGGGCATCCAGCGTGCATAACCGGTGTGGCCGGGGCTCCAGTCCGGCGTGTGCACCGGGTCTGCCGGCGCGTGCCTCCCCTGTGACGGTGCCCTGGCGGGTGTGAGCCGGACAGGCTGGAGAGAGTCGGGTCTCGGCGCCGCAGGTGGGTGTCCGTCCTCCCCCTCCTTCCCTCCGGGGGCAGCCTCCTCGAGGCGTGTGGCGGGGGATGGGGGGCCCTCTGCCGGCCGCCGCGCGCGCGCACGCCGGGCTCAGCACCCGCCGTGTACGCGCCCGTGCGCGCGCCCCGTGGCTCCAGCCGAGCGCTCGGAGCCGCTTTCGCTGCCACTGTCTGCTCCCCCGGGCCGCCGCCGCCGCCGCCGCCGCCGCCTCCCCGCGCAGGCCCGGGGCTCTGTCCGCTGGGCCCGCGCCACTCGCCCCGAGCCAGGAGAACGAGCTCGAGGAGGATGCCTGGGCCCGTGAGTACCGCGGCGGCTGCGGGCCGGGCGGGCACTGAGCGCGGGCGGAAGATGGTCCCAGGACTGAGCCCTTCCCCGCGTGCAGCTCTGCGCCCTGGCCCCGGGTCGCCGCCCCGGACCCCCGCCTGGGCCGCGGGCAGCCCCTCCCCCAGCCCACACCGGAGGGAGGGAGAGCGCCAGTGAGCGAGGGAGCCGGAGCGGGGCGCGAGCCGCCACCAGTTCGCTTGGAAACGGTTGCCACAGCAACGGGGTTGCGCTCCCCGGCAACACGACTGCGGGGCGGCGACGCCCCCTCCCCCCTTTCCCCCCTCCCCCCACACGAGCCCGCAGCTCGGGGGCGCAGGAGGAGAGGAGTGCGCGGCGGGGGTACGTCGCCCCTCTGGCCCGGCTGGGTGTGCCTGCCTCCACAGCCCGTCGAGGGTGGGGGTGGGGGCGAGCGGCCGTGGGCACGGGCTGGCTCCCACGTGGCTGCAGTCGTCGCAGCAGGGCTCCTGGGGTGGCTGAAAACGTGGGGGTGGCCCAGCCCCTGGGCTTGTCACGGGAGGAGGAGGCACTGGAGGCTGGGGCTGGGGTCTCTGACCATAGAGCCTCCCACCCACCCAACCACCACCAACACCCAGGGCCTAATCGCGCCAGCCCTGGACATGACCTGAGTCGAGTTGGGTTCCCCCAGGGGCGATGTTTCTTACCAGGGGAGAGGAGCGAAGCTTGCATCCCTCCTCCTCCTCACAGCCAGGGCATGTGCCACACCGGGCAGGGGCCCGCGGTGAGTCTCTGCTCCGAGTTTCTAGCCACCATTCTCCAGGGAGGGGTGGAAGCAGAGTGGGCAGGAGCAGAGGAAAGGACATTGCTGACCCAGGGAAGCTGAAGCCCAGGCCAAATGGGAGCGACCCAGCCCATTGTCTGGATCACAAGTGCCCCTTTCTTGTCTGAACACAATGCCCCAACTGTACTGAGTGGCTTGCAGGTTGGCCGGCAGGGAGGCCCGGGCCACATGGAGGTGCCCGGTCCTCCAGGGGAGCTCCTCTGGGAGGAGAATGGCCTCTGACTCAGAGGAAATGACCTCTGGCTCCCCTCCCAACCTCCCCTCAGCAGGCATCATGCTGGAGAGAGAAATGGCCCTCCTGCCAGCTCTCCCAGGCCTGACTCAGCAGATGCCAGCCACGACCACGGGCTTCAGATCCAGCATCCCAGCGACCACAACCGCCCTTGGGTTTCCTTTCCCATCCGGGGAGGCATACTAGAGGTGACTGGCATTTGAGGCCTTGGCATAAGATGCCCATAGATGGGTGGTGCCCTGGAGGTCAGGCCTGAGTCTCCTGCAGGCAGGGGCGCCTGGGGAATTACTCACAGGTGCTTTTCATTCCCTTCCTGCTCTGTGAGACCTGTGTTCAGCACTCTGCCTCTATTATCTCCTAATTTTTTACAACAATTGCACAAGGTAAGTTTATTATCCCCATTTTAGAGATGAAGACTCTAAAGGGAGGCTCAGGGAGGTGAGTGACTTGCCCAAGGTCACACTACCCGTAAGTGGCAGAGCTGAGTCTATAGTGCAGACTTCTCTGTGGGCAAAGCCCCTCTCTGCCTGCTATCTAACTTCTCTTGTAACCCAGGCAGAAAAGAACCGTAGAGCCTTCTAGAAGAGCATTCTTAACCTTCCTGCACTTTCATCTAGTGAGGACATTCCCAAAAAATGTCTTGGTACATTTTTTCTGCTTCCAGCAAAATCAGCCAAATTCTTGCTCCCCCAGATGGATTACAGGACAGGGCTAGCTTTCTCCATCCCTTCTTCACTTCCTCCTTCCTCCATTTTCTCCCTCTGGGTGAGACCAAGCAGCAAAGGGCTGCCCCAGTCCCCTGGGAATCCCCCAACCCCTGGTCCTCGGCTCATGGGCTCCGTGGCCTGCTCAGCTTGCAGTCTTGGCTGTGGGAGAGAAAATTTAGCGAAGATGGGCCTGTGCAGTGCTGCAGCCTGTGGGTGCTCTGTCTAGCTCCAGGCACTGGAAACCCAAATGCTTCCAGGATTAGGGGGGCAATGGAATGAGTGAGATGGGCCAGGGAGCCTCTCAGCTCCAATCTTTGTCACCGTGTGAAATGTGGACTTGGTATGACCTGACTGTCCAATTTTCAAGATGAGCCAGAAATCCAGACCTTTATATACAATCTCCTGGATTTTTAAATGTTGGCAATTAATCAGAGTGTTTTTTAAAAATTGATTGTGAAAATGGATTGTTTTAAAAACATGTCTGTGAACTGTGTCCAACCTAAGGGTCCTGTGTCTGAGACCTCTGGTCCGTGGAGGTCACAGCAGTTTTTGCTCGGCCGCCTCCAGGCTGCGCACAGTGTAGCGCCATGGGCTGCTTTCTGCATTTGAGCTTCTTGAGGCTGCAGGGTGATCCCTCATTAGAGGGAGTTCTGTTCTCCTCTTTGCACCCTTGTCCTATTGCTGAAGAAACTTCAGCTCAGATATGGGAGTAGCCAGAATGGGATCACATGGCTCAGTGAGGGCAGAAGCCACATTTGAACTCAGGGCTATCCCCTGGCACTCTGCTTGTTACCCAGTCTACCCCCACCAGGTATCACCGTCATCCCCCTGTGGCCACCTTCCCTGGAGGGTCAGATCATTATTTCCATGCTAGCTGCAGGGATGGAGGCACAGAGAGCCACAGGCTGAGGTTTCAGTGGAGGAACCTGGTCTCCGAAAACCCTGCCCTGAAGAGAGCCAGAGCTGAGCACAGTAGACACTGGCCTGAGTAAGAGCTCTCCACCTATAAGCCCAACGGGGCCCCATTCTCTGTGGTCTTATTTGTAGTTTCCCAAGCCCTGGGTTCCTGGCTTGGTGTGAGGGTTATGTCACCTACCTGCAAGCAAGGGTGCCACTCAGTACCCTCACCTAGATGGAGGGAGGTTCTGGCCAGTTCCAAGCCTGGCTGACTGTGGGAGCAGAGTCAAGTCCTGTCAAGTCCTCTGGCCTCAGTTCCTCTGTGTTAGTGTGGGAGGGGTGTAAGGATGTTACCAGTGGGCTCCCTGAAATGCCCTTCCTGCCAGGACTGGGGGCTTTGTCATCCATCACCTGGGCTTCACACCATCTGGCTATGGAGACCTGAGCTGGACCCACTCCTTGTGCCTACATCCTTGTCTGTAGAGAGAACAGCAGCCACCTCCTGGGCGTTCGTGAGATAACTAGCATAGAGGCCAGTAGTGGGCCTGGCGTGTGCAAGGCACGCAGGACAGGCTATCAGATTGTCCAGTCCCCCAGCTGCCACCTCCTGCTCTGAGTTCCTGTCCCTTCCCTTCAAGACCAGCAGCTCTAGCTTTAAGTCCAGGTGTGACCCAGAGCCCCTGCTGCCTGGGGTTTCCGATCCCCATCCCCCAGCGCCCTGGTGTGTGCCTCCATGCAGCCTTTTCCTTTGATTTACATAGACATATCGGTTCTCCACTTGCTTATAAACCACCCTGCCAGGCAAGGGCTAGGTGATGGCTTTTCTCTCTTTGACATTTTGGTGAATGGCTAACACTTCCTGGGAATGAATTGGATGTAGACCCAGCCCTTGAGATACTGCCAGTCCCACAGCTAAAAGGCCAAACAGGTAATGAGCCCTCCAGTCTCTCCTTCCGTAGGTGGTTCTTGAGCTACTTACAGGGTGCCAACTGGTAAGACTGATGGTGCTGGACCCTGGCTGCCCCAGAACATCCTGGTATCATTGGGCTTCCCATCCCTGGGGGGTGAAGTGGCTCAGGTGAGCTGGACCTAAGAGGCCTTGGCAGGAGCTCTTCTGGGTGACTAGTGGTTCTCAAAGTGTGCTCCCTGGCCCTGCAGTACCAGCATCTGCTGGGAATTTGCTAAAAATGCACACCCAGGCCCCATCCTAGACCGACTGAATCCAGCACTGGGAATGGAGCCCAGCACTGTTTTAACAGCCTCCACGTGGTTCTGATGCTTAAGTTTGAGAGGCCCGGATCTAAGCCATGTTAAATGCTGGATTGGCTCCTGAGGCAGTGTGGTGTTGTGAAGAGTGACTAGGCTGGGCAGGGACACCACACAGTGGTAAGCATGATGATGGGGGCCAGGGGAAAGACAAGTGTTGGCCTGGCCAAGGCAGTGGCAGGAGGAACAATGGAGGTGGACAGATGCTACTCTGCAGAGGTTGTGGTGGATGGAATGAATGGTGGGCTCTTTGCTGAGATAAGGACCCAGTAGCAGATCGTTCGTGCTTTGGCGTGTAAGCCTGAAGTGTAGGGTTCTTTGTGCAGAGGGCAGTGTGGGAGGTGCCCACAGCAGCGCAGCCAGCCCCTGGCTCTGTGTGCCCTTGGGTGTCATTTAATCTCCTTGAGCCAAGTGTTCTCATCTGCCAAATGACAAGAATGCTAGCCTGCTTTGAAGAGATTGTGGTGTCCAGCCCTCAGGCAGGGAGCACCCCGGGGACACACACATCTCTGCAGCCTCAGCTCAGAAGCCACCATCATGGATTAGCTTCATCTTCACCGGTGAGGAAACTCAGGCAAGTTGGAGGTTAACAAACTCACCCAGGGTCTCGCTTTCATCCCCCCGCCATGCTCCCAGTGAGTGTGTGTCCCAAGAAAACCATGCAAAGTGATATGGTTCAAAAACACTACAGATAAATCAAGATGGAACCCTAAAAGATGTTCAAATAACCTTCAAGAAAGAAAAGAGAGCCGAGTGTGGCAGCTTACGCCTGTAATTCCAGCACTTTGGGAGGCTGAGGCGGGAGGATCAACAGAGGTCAGGAGTTTAAGACCGGCCCGGCCAATGTGGTGAAACCTCCATCTCTACTAAAAATACAAAAATTCGCCAGGCGTGGTGGTGGGCACCTGTAATCCCAGCTAGTTACTTGGGAGGCTGAGGCAGGAGACTTGCTTGAACCTGGGAGGTGGAGGTTGTGGTGAGCTGAGATCTCGCACCATTGCACTCCAGCCTGGACAACAGGAGTAAAACTCGGCCAAAAAAAAAAGTAAGAAAAGAGAAAAGAAAACAAACAGAATGTAAGTAACAAAATAACAGGCTTCGGTCCATCCAAAGGGCATAGCTCCTGGCCCCTGAGCGCATTGGGTAGGAGGAGGCAGGTATTTGCTACTAGCAGTCTGGAGCAGTGTGGGCAGTGGAGGGAGTGGCTGGGAGCAACAGGCTGCAGACAGGCTCTGAGTCTGAAAGGCTCCCAGACAAGGGCAAGAACTCACATAGTAAGGGAGCAGTAAGGGGGCACAGTTTTTTCCGGAGGCTTTGCAACGTCTGGCCTAGTCAGGTAGAGCATTTTGAAAGGTCTGAATGAACCTCTGATGTTTATGTATTGAGGACCTATGGTGGGTTAGATAAGAGTCTGCTGAGCACCTGGGAGAGAGGCGTCAGACAGGAATGCAGTCCTGTGGGCCTGGTGTGACACTGACGAGGGATGGTGTTCAGCATCAAACCCCCGTCGCGCCAGCTGGGCGCTGGAGCCAGGTTAGGGCCAGGGGGCTAACTGTGTGACCTTAAGCAAGAACCTTCCTCTCTTTGGCCCAAAGTTGCCTGGTCTATAAAATGCAGCTATGATGGCACCCAGCAGATCCTGGGTGTGGCCTGCCCTGTCTGGCCTCATGCCCAACCTGCTGACACTTTTTGTCTCTTGCTAACGTGGAGCTGCCCTTCCATCTCCCCTTCATCCTGTAGCCCTTTCTCACCCTGCTATTCCACAGCATCGTGGGGCTGGTGATCAGGCATGCCAGGGCCCTGGTGGAAAGGAACAAGAATGTACATTTTGTCTATTAGCTGGCCAGTCTGCCCAGTGCCCCCATGGCTGCCACTTCATCTGGCTTATCACATAGGGAGTGTTTTGACACAGAATTTGGATTCAGGTTCAGGCTAAATCCTAGCTCCTCCCCTTCTGAGCTGTGTGACCTGGGGCAAGTCATTTCCCTCTCTGATCCTATCAACCTGTTTATCAAATGGGCACAACCACCACATGGACAAGGTGGTGTTGATGAAAGGATTCTGCCTGGAAAGAGAAATATCCTTGACAGATATTTCTAATTCAGCTAACCCCCATCATCTCCAGCCCTAGAAGTAACTTTTCTGACCCAGAGTTGTTCCTGCCTGGCAGGCCAGGGGGACTTCTGGTTAGTGCCAGTTTCCTCAGAGCATTCCTGATGGCTCAGGAAAAGAATAACAGATTTAATTAACTCCCAGTGACTGGCAGCATCGTGTTTTTATCTGGGCTGCGTCACCATGGCAGCTTCATGGCAGGGTTGTCGAGGGGGCGGGCAGAGCTATGGTTCCTGCCATTGTCTGTTCTGGAACGCAGGCCCAGGAGAAGGGGACTGGCATGGGCACCAAGTGGCACGTGGCTGAAGGCAGCCATGGAGTCAGACGGGTGTCACCTGGGGAGGTGTGGGGTGGCCCATGGCCTGGCTTCCCCTCAGCTTGGGGCTCAGGCTCCCGGTGGTTCTCAAATTAGAGTGTGTACCTTGGGTGTGCTGAAGGTAGGAGGGTCCGTGGTGCTCCTGGAAGAGGCCCACAAAGTAGCCCAGGCCACAGCCTCCCACCCACCCCACCCAGGCTAGGGTTTTGTGGCCAGGCCTGGGTTCAAATTATGGCTCCACCACCTGCCATCTACACAGCCAGTTGTTCCCCATTCCTCATCTATAAAATAGGAATCATTCTAGTTACCCCAAAGGCTTTCGTTCAAACCTGTGTGTATAAGGCATTCAGGAAAGGCTCAGTTCTGTTCTGTGGGGGCGGTGAGCAGTCACCTGCTACCCTTCACTCTCAGGGCTCCCCCCTACCTATCTCTTAGGGTGCAAGGTTCCCCCTCTCACCGCCCACCCCCTCCCGGCTGTGGAGAGGAGGAAGCGGAACTAGAGATGCCTATCTGGAGTGCAGGACCAGGTGGATATAAAAGACTAGCTTCCAACAATCATCTAGTTTTCCTCCCCTCTGCTGAGAGGGAAAAGGAGACGGCAGCCTGGAGACAGAGGCAGAGCCAAGTGGGGTTGTGCACGGGTAGGAGGCGGGAAAACGGAGTTGTAGTAGGCAAGGGCGCCCTGGAGGAAAGGAGGAGAAAGACTGGCTCACGCCCGGCGCGCTAGGCGCAAAGGCAGGGCCGGTGGCACACAGTACGAGTCGGAGCCACCAGCTGCAGCTCTCCTGTGGGAGCGGTGCAGATCCGGAGGACGCGGTGCCGGGCGTCCGGGCTTTGGGCAGCCCGGCTTCTGCATAGGGCGCCGGGTGGCTGTATGTAAGGCTCTAGGAGATGTGCCACCCTTTCCCCGCAGCACAGCAACCGCACCGAGACGCCTCTTCAGCGACCTGGTGCGCACAGGCTCCTGAAACCCTTTCGCAGTTAGGGTACCTTCAGCGGGAGGCTGCGGATGGCGAATCTCTCGTGCGGGCTCAGAGTTGGAGTCTGGCCTTTGCGCGCCCCCTGCTGGCCCGCCTCGGCTCCCCTCAGCGCCCCGGCTCCGCCGCGGCGGCGGGGCTCAGATCGGGGAAACCCTACCGAGGAAACCTCGAGCGTGACGTCACCCTCATCGGTGACGTCACCTGGCCCCAGGGGAGCGCGGGGTTCCCACGGAGGAGGCTTTCCCCGGACTGCGAAGTACGCGGGCGGGGGCCGGGAAGTCATCGGGGGCCGCGGCGCGCCTTCACTGCGCCCTATGTCTGCCCTGCAGGTCCTGCGCGGCCCCGGGTGAGGCACGCCCGCGCGCCCGCCGGCGCCATGGGAAGGAGCGGGCGCCGCTGTTGTCCCCCGCCGGCGCGCGCACGACTTGAGACCTGCCACGGGCAGCCCCCGGCCGCGGGTCCCCGAGTGACGCTGGCGGCACCTGAGAGTGTGGCGCGGGCCCGGGGCCACACAGAGGAGCCCAGTGTCCAGTGAAGCGGCTGAGGACCCGCCGCCCGTGCCGCCGCCATGGTGATGTCCCAGGGCACCTACACGTTCCTCACGTGCTTCGCCGGCTTCTGGCTCATCTGGGGTCTCATCGTCCTGCTCTGCTGCTTCTGCAGCTTCCTGCGCCGCCGCCTCAAACGGCGCCAGGAGGAGCGACTGCGCGAGCAGAACCTGCGTGCCCTAGAGCTGGAGCCCCTCGAGCTCGAGGGCAGTCTGGCCGGGAGTCCCCCGGGCCTGGTGCCGCCGCCACCACCACCGCACCGCAGCCGCCTGGAGGCCCCGGCGCACGCGCACTCGCATTCGCACGTGCACGTGCACCCGCTGCTGCACCACGGGCCCGCGCAGCCGCACGCACACCCGCACCCGCACCCGCACCACCACGCGCTCCCGCATCCGCCGCCTCCGCACCTGTCGGTGCCGCCGCGGCCCTGGAGCTACCCGCGCCAAGGTGAGTACCGACCTCCGCCAGGGGGCGAACCGGGCCGCCGGGGGTGGGCGGGGCGTCGGCGCGGGCGGGCTCGCTCCTTACCCGTAGGGCTTCCACCCGCCGCCCCCGGGAGAACACTGGCGGCGGCGGTCTAGTGCTCAGGCTTGGGCTCGGGTTGGGGCTGGGGCGCGGGCGATCCCTGGCCAGAGCCTCTGCAAGAGGCTGGAAACCGGCGGCCTCACCCCCTCCGACCGCCTCCCACTCCGCAGCGGACTCGGACATGTCCAAACCACCGTGTTACGAAGAAGCGGTGCTGATGGCCGAGCCGCCGCCGCCCTACAGCGAGGTGCTCACGGACACGCGCGGCCTCTACCGCAAGATCGTCACGCCCTTCCTGAGCCGCCGCGACAGCGCGGAGAAACAGGAGCAGCCGCCTCCCAGCTACAAGCCGCTCTTCCTGGACCGGGGCTACAACTCGGCGCTGCACCTGCCCAGCGCCCCTCGGCCCGCTCCGCCCTGCCCAACCCTCTGCCTGCAGGCCGACCGCGGCCGCCGGGTCTTCCCCAGCTGGACCGACTCAGAGCTCAGCAGCCGCGAGCCCCTGGAGCACGGAGCTTGGCGCCTGCCGGTCTCCATCCCCTTGTTCGGGAGGACTACAGCCGTATAGAGGGGCGCCCGGCGCCCCGGGCCCCACCGGCGAACTCCTGGCCTGACTGCGGGGCTTTTTAAATGCTTCCCTGGACTGCGGGGAGGGGCGGGGGGAGGGAGGGATTTCTTATCCCGTTTGTTACATTTTGAGGATAATAAAGGTGTGTGATCTGGTTTGGTACAAGCGGAGGGTGCACCCGCTGCTTTCGCCCAGGGTTTTGGCGACAAGCCGGGGCCTTGGCAGGAAGAACTCTGAACGTGCATTTCCGCCACAAGACCGCCTAAGGATGCAGAGCTAAGTCTGAGATCAATCTTCCTCGGGCGGTTCTAGGTTCCAGGCGGCTTCCCCTGGAAGCCTCAGCCCCCCACCCAGTGTCTGACGGGCCTTGTAAGTCGGGTGAGGGCGCCCCCTGGTAGCAGGGAGGTGCTGCGGCCTCGGAGGTGGGAGGAGTTGAGAACCTGGGTTAGGGCAGGCGGCAGCCCAAAGGGATCTGGATTTCTTTATTAACAGACATGAGCACGACCCGTTACAGAAGTTTGTGCTTTCCAAAAAAAAAGAAAAGAAAAAAAAAAAAAAAAAAAAAAAAAAAGTTACTGAACGTGAAAAAGGAACCCAAGCAAAGAGGAAGGAGTTGGGGAGGGGCCACTCAAGCCCTTGGGCCCCATCCATAGCCCTGACCTGAACCGCGCCTAGGGCCTCCAGCCTGGGACCTGCCCGGCAGGAGAGGGGGGTGGGTAGCCCAGGGGCCCCAGCTGGGCCTGCTACTTCCTTTGGGCCAGACAGGGAGGGGTCAAAAGAAGGGCGGGGAGGGGGTCCCAGGGAGCCAGAGCCCACGAGCCATTTATTGCCATGTTTTAAAATTCGTGCAAAATATCTGAAGCCCTGGACAGAGAATACAAAGTGATATTTTTCCAAGAAACATAAAACTAGGAAAAGAGGTGGAGAACATTTTCCCACCGGAGCTCCCCCCACACCAGGCCCCAAGCAGGGTGAGGCCTCCACCCCGGCCAGCTGAGCAGGGAGGACTAACAGCTACAATCTGGACCAGGGAAGGAGGAGTGGAATTTGCAACAGCGTCTCAACTACCAACGGGAGGAAAACCAGTCAACTGTACAAGTCTCCTATCAACTTTAAAAAAAAGAGAAAAGCTGTAAAAGTCAGGCCCTGTGGGTAGGGAAGCAGCCAAGTCCCCAGCCAGGGCCGGAATCCGGAGTGGGTGCCAGGCGGAGCTGCTGCGAATGCAGGCACGGCAGGCCGTCTGGCCAGAGGCCGATGCAGGTGGGCGGCCTTGGCAAGGGCAGCCTAGGGCTGGCGCCACTGCTAATCACCACCTTCGAAGCCCTCCTCCTCTTCTGGAACTGGGTCTGCATCCCAGCAGGTAATATCGATTTCTATGGCATTAGAAGGGAAGATGAGTTAGGGACCTAGCCGACCCATGCTTGTGTCCCCAGCCTCTATGGGTGGTGGGTAGTGGTGGGGTGGCTGCCCACATTCAAACCCAGCCTCCCCACCGAAATTCCTCCCCATCATCTACCCCAGTACTACCTGGTGGCTTGTTGTAGAACACAGGAGGTGGAGCCTTGGCACAGAGCTCTTCCGATTGGGCAAACTCCTCCTCCTGTGATTGACTGAAGTACCCCTCACTGGCCTGCAGGGGAAAGCATCAGGTCACTTGGCCCCACCCAGCGGGACTGGGGCTGACCTATCAGGCCTGAGCCTGTTTCCCCAGCAACCTATGATTCCATCAGTGGTTGCCGGGGCAACGCGGATGCCTGCCTTGGGAACAAAAGCAGAGCTGGCGGGTGGGATGGGCTTCCCCTCCAATAATGTGGGTCACACAGAAAGGGGGTACTGGTGCAAGCCTGAGCAATGCAGAACCAGTGCCCTGCTCAGCCTGGACTCCCTCTCATCCCTCCCACCAGGCAGCCCCTGCTGCACCTGGGTCCCCTCCTTCTGGGTGGTCTCGCCATTCGTGAGCAGGTGGGGCTCTGGCTCCTGCTCGTGCTCTTGCTCCAGCTCCTCAAGGGCCGAGGGCAGAATTGGGGCCTGGGGGGTGGCCAGGGGCTCCCCTTCTACTTCCTCGGTGTCACAGAAGGTGGCTGGCGGCTCAGGCAGCTCATCGAAGTTGAGAAGGGTGGCACAGCCTTCGCCTGCTGGCAGCAGTGGCTCCGGAGCCACCTCGTCCAGCAGGGGCACCTCTGCCAGGGTGACCTCAGTACCTGAGGGTGGTGTGGGGGCCCTGGGCTCGCCCTGGAGTGAGGAGCCCCCTTCCCCATTGCCAGGCCATAGGTCAATGAGGCTGGTGGTGGCAAGGGGTACATTGTTGGCAACAGTGGTGTCAGCAGTGGCAGTGTCGGTTTCAATGGTGTCAGCTGCGTCGTGGGCCTCAGTGGTGTCGGCTGTGGCAGGTTCCACAGGGGCAGTCAGGACAGCCTGCTCTGCAGACTCCATGAACATCAAGTCCTCTGCAAGGCTGCCTGGCCCCCGGGGAGGTGCCTGTGCCTGGGAGGGCTCCTCCATGGGGCCGGCCCAGGCCTGAGGGTCTGCTGCTCTGGTCTCCTCACTGTCCAGGCTAGGGCTGGGCTCCTGGGTCTCTGTCACAGCACAGGCAGAGGAGACATGCAATTAGCTCCCTTGGGGGCGGATGGAGACCCTGCCCTATGGACAGTGGTGGTGGTTGTCCAACAATGTGAGGAATGAGGGAGCCAGGGACTTCCATGCAGGTGTCCCACTGCCCCCTTACCCAGTGACCCCAGTGACTTTAAGCCCCTTGGCAGCTCTGGGAGGAAGGCCTGATTCCCACTTGAGAAGTCAGGTGCTGAGCTTTAGAGAGGGCAGGTCTGACTGCACACCAGGGCTCCTCCCCGCACAGCCGCCTCCAGGGCAGTGCATTCTTAGTGTTGGGTGGCCCAGATCCCTGGAGAATGGTTACCATGGCAACCTGGGGCTCTCAGCCAGGGAATGCCGATGGGAGCCCTGGTGCAGGTAGGGTCCCTCTCTCACCTTGGGCTGATGCGGGTGGTGGTGGCAGTGGTGGAGGCTGTGAGGATGTGACCTCATCCAGGGCCCTCTCAATCTGCTCAGCAACAGGGGTGGAGGCGGTGCTGGAGTCAGATGGGCTCCGCGTGGGGATGGGAGTGGGCGCCATCCTCCGGTGGCTGTCCAGGTGGCTGCCTGTGGAACAAACCCCAGATGGGTCAGTGAGGGCAGGGGAGGCGGGTGGGACAGGACTGTCCACCTTGGGGCCTGGCCAGCACCTCCTCTCTGGAGTCTGGGTGGGGGCTGGGAGCTCCCCAGCCCCCCCCAGGGGCCAGACTACAGCTCCAGACCCTGTAAGCTAGGCCCCTGGGGCCAGTGCCCCACAGGGCCAGGGGCAAGAGGCAGGCAGTGCCTGCCCTGGGGACAAACACCAGAGATCAGCGGTCAGGCTGGGGGAGTGACGGTGGGGGGCTGCTGGGAAGCGGGGCCCTCCTTACCACCCCCGCCGAGGCCTGGGGCTGCTACCTACATGGGAGGGAGGAAGAGAGGTTTGGGGTGCGGTGACAGGTGATATAGGGAAAGGGAGTCCGTGGAGGGGAAGAGGAGGAAGAGGAGGAGGAGGAAGGCCCACTGTCCGATGCCTTTATGAAAGGGCAGTACGGACGACCTGCCGAGAGAGACAGACAGAGAAAGAGACAGAGGACAAGAGAGGGTCAGTCTCCCCCACCCCTGCCAAGGCCTGTCCCGCCCCCAGGGCTGGCCCTGGATGTCCAAGCTGCCTTCAGCCAGGGCGCACTCAGCCAAGCCAGCCGCAGCCTCACACCAGCCCCAGACACACAGCCAGCCTGAGAGCAGCACAGCAGACATGGCCTGCATCGGGACCCCAGCATGGGGCAAGCACACTCAGGCCAGCAGACAGGGTAGGGAAGAGCTTCAGGGAAGGCAAAAGCAGCACAGTGATAAGCAGAACAGGGACACCTGAGTGCAAGCTCCAGGAGGCTCACTCAGGGCCTGGGCAAGAGCCTAGCCCGCATGCACCCCGGTCTTCCAGGCCAGACCTAGTTCACCCCAGCCTGGCTGCTCCCCGTGGCCAGTGCTGTGCCTCAGCCCAGGCCAGAGCTGCCCCTCAGGTCCCAGCACTCCCCACTGTTTAGCCACAAGCGACTTCGACACCACCCCTGGCCTTTCTTGGGGTCCTGCCACCTGGGAAGTGGTGGGTGGATGCACGCTGGATGAAGGGTGTCGCCTTCTCCAAGGGTTCCTTGGGCAAGGCTTCCCTTCCAAGAGAGTCCCAGAGAGGCTCAGGGCCATAACCTGAGGAGTGGGGTTGGGTGGGGGTGAGGCCTAGGACTACCTGGTCGGTGGTTGAAGGGCGAGGGCACATCACAGCTGCCCGCAGAGGCCGACGCGACTCTTTCCTGCTGCTTGAAGAACTCCCGTGGGTTGTCAGGCCGCTGGGCAATAATGGCTGCTGCCTCCTGATGGCACAAGGAAAAGGCTGAGGCTGGGCCAGGCCAGCTGAGGGAGTCCCTGCCCACCTCACCTGGCTGGTGCCCCCGCTTTCACCTCCACCTCTGACTCCGACTTCTTCATGTGGGTCTCTTCCTCCTCATCCCGATGGTCACCCTAGAAACCAAAGAGACAGGGTCTGGTGCACCTATCCACCTTCTTTTTTCTGTATTTTATTTATTTATTTTGTTTTTGAGACAGGTTCTTGTTCTGTCACGGAGGCTGAAGTGCAATCGCGCAATCACAGCTCACTGCAACCTCTGCCTCCTGGGGCTCCAGCAATCCTCCCACCTCAGGTTTCCACCACCACACCTGGCTAATTTTAATTTTTTTTGTAGAAGTGAGGGTCTCCCTATGTTTCCCAGGCTGGTCTCAAACTTCTGGGCTGAAGGGATCCTCCTGCCTTGGCCTCCCAAAGCGGTAGGATGGACTACAGCCATGAGCCACCAATGCCCAGCCTTCTGATAGCCCCCATGCTTCTTTCATGATCTGGCAGGAAGGTTCTCAGAGCTGGTACCTCTGCCCCTTGAAACCAAGTCACACAGGCCTCTCTTCCTTCAGGGCCCTTGACCACCTCATCTCTGACCTGCCAGGCCTCTGGGCACCAGGCTCATTCACCTGCTTGCTCATCCCCATATCTAAGCAGAAGCCTAGAGCCATCCAGGAGCACTCTTAAGTTTTGCAGATAACTTTTCTCGGACCTCCTACCCCAGTGCCGGGGTCACCATGCTCCCAATGTTGCTGCCTGGACCATGGCATCACGGCCCAGCCATCCTCACTGGTACCTGCCTTATTTGCTCTCCATAGGCCCTGAGAGGACCTTTCTAAAATGTGGTTTAGACCATTATTTTCCTGAGCTTAAAATCTCTCAGGGGTTCCCAAGAGCCACAGCAAGCACTGGCTAAATATGACCCACAGATGGCTTTTGTTTTGCTGGTATGATATTTTTAAACCATGTTAATTAGTTGCCACCACTTAAAAACCAGGAACTTTCATGCTGAAGTCAGAATTCCAGTTTCTCTTGAGGTGCCAGAGCCCTGGAGACACCACCTGCAAGCCTTGAAGCAGCCATCACCAGGGGCTCGCTGCAGCACCCATAAGCCAGGCTTGTGCCACCCGCTTGCCCCT